ATAAGTTGGTCTTTAGTGAATCGACTTGGCAAAACTGATTAGTTCACTAACTATGAAGGTTTTAATATTGTCAACAGTAGGTTAATCATGAACATGTAGCTAAATTTAGTTAAAGCATGAATTTAAATTAATTTCGTGAATTAGGCATTATGGCATGATTTGAGTTCAAACAAGACGAGTTAACGTTTAAATTTAATAAACTTTCGAATATGCATTAGTAATTAAGATTGATTCTAGTTTCAAATAGTTGTAAATAATTAATTCCAACGGTTCAAGTCATCTAACAATGCGAGTTTAATCTAGTTATAGGATAATTAGTTTCTTTTGAATATATTATTTGTCGATTCCGTATTTTATTTATAATTTCAATTTTAGTAATATTCCTTTCCGTTAACATTTGTCTTAATCTAGCATTTAATATGTTACGCATTTTTTTTTCAAGCATGTAATTAATTAGGNACCTTCTCCCGGGTTAACAGAATTCCTTATCTGGATTTCTGGTGCGCAGATTGTTAAACAGAGTTGATCTTTTCCTCGATTCGGGATTCAACCGGTGACTTGTGACACCATAAATCTCCCAAGTGGCGACTCTAAAATAATAAACCCCGTTTCGATTGTCCTTTAATTGAAAAAACTCCCCTCTGCGCCCCTTTGCGGCGACGCGGGTAAAAAGGAGGTGTAACACACTCACATAAGCTTCGGGTTCATTGATTTCTTCAGGAATCTCAGAACTAATCAGATCTTGGGTCTCTTCAAGAAATCCCTTCATAGTATCGTTTTGATCATTTGTCGATTTTCTTTTTCGAGGATTTCGATCCTTAGAACCCAAAGGCCTACCACGCTTCAGGCGTGCTTTAGGTTCACTAGCTCTCATGCTAGTAGATGGTCCTACTGAGACATCAATTTGGATAGGCACATTCTCTGCTGGGATATGTGACTTAGTTATCCTTTTCAAATCAGTAAATGTGTCTGGCATTTGATTTGCTATATTCTGTAAATGGATGATCTTCTGGACCTTGTGATTACATATAGGGGTACGGGGATCAAAGTGATATAATGATGAAACTTTCCACACAATTTCTCCTTTGATTTCCTTTTTCTCTCCCCCCTAATTGTGGGAAATTTATTTCATCAAAACGACAATCTGCAAATCAAGCAGTAAATAAATCTCCTGTCAATGGTTCAAGATAGCGAATAATAGAGGGTGATTCAAACCCAACATATATTTCCTATCCTTCTCTGTGGTGCCATCTTACTGCGCTGTGGTGGTGCTACTGGCACATATACAGCACATCCGAAAATTCGTAGATTGGAAATATTTGGTTCATGACCAAAAACTAATTGTGACAGAGAATATTTATTATAATGTGTCGGTCTGAGACAGATAAGTGATGTTGCATGCAAGATAGCATGATCCCAAACAGTAGTGAGCAATGTTATTTTCATAAGTAGTGGTCTTGCTATCAATTGCAGGCGTTTAATAAATGACTCTGCAAGGCTATTTTGAGTATGAACATAAGCTACATGATGTTTAATTTTTATCCCAACTGATAGACAATAATTATCAAAAGCTTGAGATGAGAATTCTCCAGCATTATCAAGGCGAATAGCCTTTATAGGATAATCTGGGAATTGTGCCCTTAATCGAATTATTTGGGCTAATAGCTTTGCAAACGCCAGGTTGCGAGATGATAGTAGGCACACATGAGACCATCTTGAAGATGCATCTATTAGGACCATAAAATATCTAAACAACCCACTTGGTGGGTGAATAGGTCCACATATATCCCCATGTATACGCTCTAAAAAGGCAGGGGATTCAATGCCAACCTTTATTGGTGATGGTCTAGTGATCATTTTGCCTTGATAACAACCATCACAAGAAAATTTGTCATTTGTAAGAATCTTCAGGTTCTTTAATGGATTCCCACTCGAATTTTCAGTAATTCGTCTCATCATTATTGATCGAGGATGGCCCAAACGGCCATGCCAAAGCACAAAAGTATTTGAATCCGTAAACTTCTGGTTTACGATAGAGTGTGCTTCAACTGTACTAATTTTTGAATAGTATAAGCCAAAAGATAAAGTTGGTAACTTTTCTACAATGTATTTCTGGCCAGAAATATTTTTTGTAATACAAAGATATTCCATGTTCATTTCATTTATTGTCTCAACATGATACCCATTTCGGCGGATATCTATAAACTCAACAAGTTTCTTCGGGACTTGGAGGAGAACAATGCATTGCCTATAATAAGTTTTGTTCCCTTAGACAGAAATATAATGGCTCTTCCAGAGCCTTCAATCAAACTTATATTACCAGAAATTGTTGAAACATTTGCTTTTTCCTTATGCAAATAAGAAAAGTATTTCTGATCCTTGAATATGGCATGAGTTGTTCCACTATCAATAAGACAAATATCTTCATGATTTGTCTTTGATCCAAACACAATTTGAGGATTATCCATATTCTTCAAAATGACATAAATAAAATATATTATAGTAAATATCATTATCAAAGCATAACTTTTATTGATATACAACAATTACATAACCATACTATCTATTACAAACAACAAAAATTAGAATATTTACATTTCTAGAGATTTACTACCGATTACATGACTTGTTTCTCCTCCTAGGAGTGCAAAGTAATCAGCTACATCTAAATGCATGAAGTCTAAATTATCTTCAGAAATAAAATTTGCTTCAGCATTTTTCTCGGTCTTTTTCAAGGAGGCTTGATAAATTTCAACCAGGTGCTTTGGAGTACGACAGATACGTGACCAGTGCCCTTTTCCTCCACATCTGTAGCATGCATTTTCTGCATTTAGTGCTTGCACCGCTGGTGGCGAAGAGGGTTCTTTGGTGCATTATTATTACCATGATTAGAGTTTTTTCCCCGACCACGGCCATGACTACGATTGGGGCCACGACCTCTTTCATGTTTAGCTTGGTGGAAGTTCATATCATTCACTTAAGGGAATGGACAAGAACCAATAGGTCAGCTTTCATGGTTTTTCACTAATAGCCCATTATGTTGCTCGGCTACAAGAAGATGTGAGATAAGTTCAGAATACTTTTTAAATCCCATCTCTCGATATTGTTGCTGCAGGAGCATATTTGAGGTATGAAAAGTGGTGAAACGTTTCTCCAATATATCATGATCAGTAATATTATCACCACATAATTTCAATTGGGAAATAATTCTGACCATAGCAGAATTATACTCAGTGATAGATTTAAAATTTTGTAGCCTTAGATAAGTCCAATCATATCATGCCTGTGGAAAAATGACCATCTTCAGGTGGTCATATCTATCTTTCAAATTATTCCACAGTATGACTGGATCTTTAACAGTAAATACTCCATTTTCAGGCTCTCATCAAGGTGATGGCGTAGGAATATCATTGCTTTGGCACCGTCTTGGTTTGATGCCTGATTTTTGTCTTTGATGGTGTCTGCCAGACCCATCGCATCAAGATGAATTTCAGCATCAAGCACCCAAGACATGTAGTTTTTGCCCGATATATTCAGGGCTACAAATTCAAGTTTAGAAAGATTTGACATTGTTTAGGAAAAGAAAATTCTTTCCTCAGATACTTTCAAAATATTTTCTCGAGATGGCAGAGTCTCGTGCTGATAACGTGTTATAAAATAAAGACTGTAAAGTAAAGACAAGTATAGAGAGAAACTGATATATTATTCGAATTCAAACTGATATATATAATGAACTGAAATCTCTTTTATTTATAGAAGAAAAGAAGCTACTGTGTAGGGGTGTCAATGGTTCGGTTTAGCCGGTTATTTTATAAAATTTGTACCATACCAATTTTTTCATTATTCTATTATGTATAACCAAAATTAGACTTTTCGAAACCATACCAATCATGTCGGTTTCTTTTTGATATCGGTACGGTTCAGTTAATTTTCGGTATTTTTTTAAATATCATGTAAAATTCACCAATAGAAGTAAAATGCAATAACATACATTCTTTTATAGGACTTAGCAAAACTCTTTAGATATTTTTACTATTTAAAGGGTGATGAATTAAAAAAAATAAAAGATGACTAGGGTATAGATCCATCAACTATTCTACAACAACGTAAAAGAAATCAAGCAAAGGCAAAGAAAATATAAATCACACAAGTAGAAAGATATTAACCAAGCTAGGACTCAAGAATAAAGTCTATAGAAGATTAAATATTCAAAAAGATAAATATAAATTATATGAAAGGAAACATATTCAATACATTGTAGATTGGTACTTGTAATTGCTATAATACTTTGTGTCTTGCTAATAAAGATATTTGAAATAACTTAGTTTAAATAGAAGTAGCATAAGAGGTTTTAAGAATTAGTATTTTGAGTTTAATTACTTGTTGGCTTATAATAGTTTTCATAATTCCAAGGCCCAAAGAAAAATTTAATAAAAACCTAAGGTTTTTTAAAAAGAAACCTAAAAATCGGTTCGATGCGGTTCGGTTCGGTCGGTTTAGTCGGTTTTCAAATATCCATTGACACCCCTACAATGCTGTGTAAGCTGCTACTGCAAGCTGCTATTATACCAGATATAGATAATCTTTTACTGAGAGCAATGTTTATCCATAACGGAGTATTGAATGGATAAGTTCATTGTACCCAATATAGATAATCTTGTACTATGGTTAATGATTATCTATAATGGAGTACTGAAAGGATAAGCTCATTGTACCCGATATGAATAATCTTTTACCGGGGATAATGTTTACCCATAACGGAGTATCGAAAGGATAAACTTATTATATCCGGTATAGATAATCTTCTACCGAGGATAATGTTTACCCATAACCGGGTACCAAAGTGATAAGCTTCTTCAGGAAACTTATTTCCAATAGAATACTAAATAGATAAACATATTTACGGTAAAGTATCGTATGGATAAGGAAGCTTATTTACAACATACTACTAAATGAACATCCATAATGTAATATATTTGTAACACATCAGCCATTTTTACAAATCATTCATTTGTGTACCATGCACCTAGTGACCCTGAATTCTATCCGTTAGTAATAAATTGTAGAAACACTATAGTATATATAGCTCATGTCGGTGCCTTTCTTTAGTCCTTTTTTGCACTTCTGCCATTTGCTGAGTATTAATAAAACTTATGCTCATAAATTGTGTGAACTCTTCTCTCTTCCTTTTTTCTTCTTCAATCCAATACCAGACACTTATTTGTAGACAAATCTCTACTTTTCCATTCTCTATTCTCTATTCTCTATTCTCCAGGTATAATTCCCAATTTCAACTTATTATTATTTTTTTCCTCATTTTGTTAGTTTCTGCTTGTTTACTTTCCAGTACCTGTTTTTCTACTGTTAAATTATATACTAGTAGTAACAATTTCTTGACTTTAAATTGGGTTTTTCCTGCATTTAACGAGATCCTTTATTTGGGTTATCTTTTTGGAATTTCTACTGCATTTTTTTTGGTTAGTTTCTGCTTTTTTCCTTTACATTTTCAGCATGAATTAGCTTTCTTTGTGCTTAACAATATAAAAGTTCTGAACTTTCAACTTGGTTTTCATGCCTCTTCCCTTAACAAGAGGTCGTTCGAGCCCTGGGTATGGAAAAGAAAATCTTGGTAATGAGCATTTCCCCGAATGGGCCCTACATGGTGCGAATAGAGATATAGTCGGGCTCCAATGCGGGTACCGGACACCGGGTGGGAAACCAAAAAAAACTTGGTTTTCATGCACATTGAACAAGATCTGTATATTTGGAGCTTTCTCTTTGTAATATTCACCGCATTTTAGCTTAATTTAGTTGTGTTTTTCTCAAGCTTTTCTTCTTTAATTTTCTGGTGTAGCATTCTTGGAGCTTTTTCCCCACTCTTGACTATCAAAAAAAAGTTTTTTTTTTTTCCAACCCTTTTGATTAATCTTGCATAATTCACAATTAGCTCACATAAAACTTATAGTATTAGTTATTGTAACAGAATAGGTCCTAATGAAACAAATGGATATTGAGTATTCTCATAGCAAACCCAAACTAGTTTAGGATTGAGATGCAGTTGTTGTGATTTGTTTATAATTAAAAAAATCCTTTTTTTTTAGTTTTGATTAATCTATCATAATATTCTCACTTAAAGCTTGTGTACATTTTTTTCCAGTTTTCTTCAACCTAGGGACAATGAATCAATGGGTTGGATCACTTTTCCTATGCATTTTGGGCATGTTGCTTCTGATGAACGGGTCAGTAGTGGCGGAGGTGGAGACATGCTCGGGGATAGTGCCAATGCAGTATAGGTATGATAAGATATCATTATTGGACTATGGAGGTGTAGGTGACGGACGGACGTTGAATACGAAAGCGTTTATGGAAGCAATTTTTCGAATTCAGCACTTGAAGAGGAGGGGTGGAACGTTGCTTTACGTACCTGCTGGTGTATATTTGACTGGTCCATTTAATCTTACTAGTCGAATGACTCTTTATCTGGCCCGTGGTGCTGTTATCAAAGCCACTCAAGTATATTCTAACATTGCTTTTGTTTCTGCTTTTTTCAGCAAACTTATTCTTTATTCTTCATATCTGTACTATATAGTATTAAAATAGCTGCATTTAGAGAGAACAATTTGACCCATTTTTATTCTTTTTCCTTTTGACTATCATTTGATCCATTTCAACAATGAGTGCAAAACTTCAGTTGAAATGTGATGAACTTATTCATTACTGCTAATTATGAGCTGAGTTTGCTGTGGCATAGACAGCTGAATGGTGAGTGGCATATTTTCTTGACCTAGATTTTGGTTCATGTGTTTATGCATTGTTATTAATTTTGAATGTGGGGCATACAGCATTATGTACCATATATTAAACAAGATATGGATAGGAGGAGGACCAGCTTAAGTTTCTGGTGTTCATTTAGCGGTACTATATTTGGAGTAGGCTACAGTAAGTCTGTGTCTCTTTTCATCTTCTTGAGCCGGGTCTTCCGGAAACAGCCTCCCTACTCCCTCGGGGCAGAGTTAAGGTCTACGTACACACTACCCTCCCCAGACCCCACTAGTGGGATTTTACCGGGTCGTTGTTGTTGTTGCTACAGTAAGTTTTGTGTAAGATGAGCAATAATATAGGTATGACCTATAGGGATTATGTGCATTTAGTAATTGACGGGCCTTGGGATAATGACGGGACCTCATACATGTGATGGTTTTTAAGGATTGTGGTGGACAACCATGGGCTCTATTAAACTATTCAATTGTCATCAGCCACAAACAGATAAAAGAGGAATACAATGAAAGCCAACTTGATCTATGTCTCATTGTATTATTACAATTCAGGATGCCAGTCAATGGCCATTAGTTGATCCATTGCCTTCATATGGGAGAGGAAGAGAGCGACCTGGTGGAAGGTATATGAGTTTACTCCATGGAGACGGGCTCCATGATGTGATTATCACTGGTAAATATCATTTATCATATTCTTTTACATTTTCCTCAATACCTTTTTGGGTACAATTTGTGGCAAGTAAGAACCACCTAACTAAATTATAATGAACTTCAAGGCCTGATATATTGTCGTTTGACTGAAGTATTTAAACTAATTTCTCAGGTGAGAATGGTACTATTGATGGCCAGGGTGATGTTTGGTGGAATATGTGGAGGCAAAGAACTCTTCAATTCACAAGACCTCATCTCATTGAACTAATGAATTCCAGAGGCATAATCATTTCTAATGTCATTTTCAAGAACTCCCCCTTTTGGAATATCCATCCTGTTTATTGCAGGTATAAGTTTTTGCATAATTTTGTTTTTTACCCTGTGCATTTTGAAAAGCGTGTCAAAATCTGAATAAAAGCTAATAACCTCTCGAGTAATCTTCTTATTTTATTTGTTATATATTTCATTGCATTCACTTCCTAGTTTACTGGGTCTGTTAAAATTTTGCTATAGAGCTGGATTTATTCCATGACGGATGTGTGATGACAGGTGACAATAATCATGCATGTGACACTAACATGCAGTCTTTGTTATAAGAGAACATCTAGCTAGTCCATTGCAGTCTGATCTAATTTGCTTGTTTGTTCTTTTGCCAGCAATGTTGTTATTCGATATGTCACCATATTGGCTCCAGCTGATTCTCCAAACACCGATGGAATTGATCCAGGTTTCTCCTCTTGTCTTCTGAGTCTCCTTTCGTTGGTGCAATTCGTTATAGAATAATAGCTCTTGGTTAAATTACCTAGGGCAAACTTTTCCGCAGAAATCCATTAGCTGTTTAGAGTTGAGATATCTTGTTTTCTTTCTTTTTGGGAAGTGACATTATGCAGAAGACACATCATGTAGAGGTTATCATTATTCTGTGCAAGAACGGGTGATCTTCAACCTTCTATTTGATGCATCGTTGGAGTGCATGTAATAAGCTTCCATTTAGCATCGCTTTAGCTTAGCAATAAAGAGGACTGCTAAAAGAAATTTTTCTGGGCCTATATTTATCCATTATCTTCCATAAAGAAGCTAGTTGCTTCTTGTAAGAAACTTCGTTCCACTACCCCAATTTCTGTTCTTGGAGGGTGAACAAATTTGGTTTCCGAGAGCAGAGGATTCTCTAGACACTATCAGAAAACTGAAGACCTACAGCAGTTAGTGGTTGCTTTTTCTTTCTTTATCATTAATTCATTAATATGTTAATTTACTATTGCAGATTCAAGCTCCCATGTCTGCATAGAGGACTCTTACATTTCCGTAGGGGATGACCTAGTAGCTGTGAAGAGTGGGTGGGATCAATATGGCATTGCTTATGGTCGCCCTAGTCATGGCATAACCATCCGAAGGATCACTGGATCATCTCCATTTGCTGGAATTGCTGTTGGAAGTGAAACTTCCGGTGGCGTAGCGGATGTTTTAGCTGAGCATATAAACCTTTTCGACATGGGAGTTGGCATTCACATTAAGACAAACATTGGTCGAGGAGGGGTGATCAGAAACATCACGGTCTCAAACGTCTACATGGAAAATACACGAACAGGGATTAAGATTGCAGGTGATGTTGGAGACCATCCAGATGAAAAATTCAATCCGAATGCTCTTCCAGTGGTTAAGGGTATCAAGATTAAGGATGTTTGGGGTGAAAAGGTTTTACAGGCTGGTTTGATCCGTGGTTTGAAGAATTCCCCTTTCTCTGGAATTTGTCTCTCCAATATCAACCTTCATGGCAACAACCCCGGACCACGAAATTCCCCTTGGAAATGCTCAGATGTTAGCGGAGCTGCAATTCAAGTCAGCCCTTGGCCTTGCTCAGAACTCACCAGCAGCCAACAAACTGGTGCATGCTCTACCTACTTCTGAATATCTTGTAATTATTTTGCTTCCAATTCAAGTCAGTAAATCACAAAGAAGAAATGATGAATTTTATTCTTGTTCTAAGTAAAATTGTAATTTCAACTTCGTATTGCAATCATATTGTATACATGTTAGAATCCTTGCTACTAGATGTCACATGGATGCAAAGTTTGTTTACGACAACTAAAAACACACATCAACAAGCTAAAGGCTTATCGTATGCACAAAGTGCTTCCCTGCTTAGTCCAGGGTATAGGGAGAGGATGGGCATATATGGTACGCAACCTTCTTCTTGTATTTCTACAAAGAAGAGGTCTCCAGGCCTCAACCAAAAGGAGCAATTCTACCATTGCACCAATGCTCACTCTGTGCGAGCAATCCTACAAATACATATGTTGATACAAAATACTAAACCAAAACATGGAGCACATTAGCAAAGATGCTTCATTCAAAGTAGTGATCCAAGAACTTGCGAATGTGCCTCACGAAACCACCTGTCTTCTTTTCCTCCTTATGTGCCTCATTCTGCTCTTCAGCTCCTTGCTCCTCTTCCTCATGGTGATGGTGCAATTGCTTCTTCAGTTTCTTCCTAGCAATGCTATTATGAGCTTCATACTGCATTGCCGAAATTTTGCCATCCTCATCTTCATCCTCCTCCTCATCATCAAAGGGGTCATAGAACTGATTCTTCAGTTTCAGTTTAGCAAACTTATTGTGATTATCCCGTTTGATTATGAACTTTGACATCTTCTGTTCATCATCATCTTCGTTATTGTCGTGGAGGAAACTCATCCATTCCTCTGGAACCTGATGCATGCCTCCATCAAACATTACATGGTCATCAAAATCACTATTCTCACCAGAAGAAAGTATCATATCTTTACCATAAGGGATTTGATCATGATCATTAAGGTGTGTTCTTGGCTTCAGGTTATGTGCATGGTGGAAATGGTGGTGGCATAGTCTGTTAGGAAGCCTAGATGATCTGGCTCGAAAGTGGCGGTTGATCGGACGAAGCCGGACAAACGTCAAAGGTAATGGCTTGATCTCTTTTCCCTTAAGTTCAGGAAGATCTTGATTCTCTTGAACATGGTGAGTCTCTTTGTCAAGCTTGTTTGTGGGGGTGGCGTCGCGTTCGGGGAGAGTACGGGGAAGTTTGATATCATTTTCTTGTTGAGTTAAGGGTGTGCGAGCAAATGAGAGGGTGAAGAAGAGGAAGAAAACGGCAATAGAGAGTTTGGTCATTGTGTAAAGGAAACTTGTTTGTTTCTTTCTTGAGGAACAAAAAGGAAAGATATGGTTTTATATAGGATAAAGCAACGGCAAAGTCGGTTGACCATCAGTGTGAATGAATTATTATTTCCTCATTTGGAAAGGTGGGCAGTAAATATGGGGAAAGAAGAGGGTAAGAAGAGGGGAAAATGTAGTGACATTTGAATCCCACATTATTTGTGTGTAGAGGGAAATAGTAACTATTTGGTGGATAAAATTATTGATACTTGTGCGGGTGAAATGTAGCAGGTACTCGATATAATATGTTTATAAGCCGCTACTAATTAAAAATGTTTAACTTGATCAGTCCATAGTGGCAATACGTCTCCATTGAGAGGGGTTTGTTTCCATAAAAGAATTGTATTTCTTACATCACCTTTTTTCACTCTTGTAGCTGGGCTGTTTGTTGGAAAAACTTTGTTCCCAAAATAGAAAATTAGAAAAATAGAACATAGAAACTTAGAACAGAAAATTCAAAAATAATTTCGAGCCCGCAAATTTCTTGTATATCCTTAAGGAATTTAATCTTTTAACTGTTGCCCAAGGTATACGAATTAATTCCTTCTAGGATAGAACAGAAAACTATTCTGTAAAAGCGGGACGTTAATTTACAGAACTTCGGCGAACTCAAATGGAAGAACAAATCACACTTAACACTTATGTTTATTTTGGAAAACAATGTATAGAAAGGGAGAAATTTCATTCAGTGTATGAAAAATTAAGAGGTGCAATTCAAAAGGTGCCTCTCCGCCGACAGTCGGTGACAAAACCTACACTGTTCCATTTGTCATTGGACAAGGTAGGTTGAATTAAAAACAGAAGAAAACCATAATATAAAAATGTAGCATTATTAATTTATAAATGTGTGGAGGATTCAAGTAAAACCCCCTGGACCGATATTATCGAGATAGATCCACAAAGTATTAATGACGCAGTTTAGTTACAATATAAGAACAAAAGAGAGATCAATGTTTTCTTGATAGTGAAGTATATTTTTATATGTTTTATGAAGCAGGTGACGCAGAGGCGGAGCTAGAATTTTAAGCTTATGAATTTGGAATTTTAATCGCCTTAAGTTATTGAGTTCTAAATTAATAATTTATATATATTCAATGAATATAAGACAAATGTAGGGTTAGTTCGACCCAAAGCTACTGGGTTCGGCCGAATCCGCTCTCGGCAATCTAGCTCCGCCCCTGTTAACGACGCTTCATGTCCTTTCCCTTGTCCGCTCAAATATTTAGCCTTGATTTATTTGATCGTTACTATCTTTTTAATTTTCTTTTTGTGGCATTAGGAAAGGCTAAGTAAAAAAGGAAATGAACGTAAATACTTATATGTACCCGATGCTTACATAAAATTAAACAAGTTAATCTTTAACAGTTAAAAATTAAAGTTTAAATACATATCATATAGTTATCATAAAGTGATAAATATATGTATGACAAACAAATATCTTGCATTCATTAATTTGACGTAAATATTTAATGCAAGTAAATTTTTATCACACAATAATTAGAAGGTTACATCAGTGGACACAGGACAATATGATTCCATGACATCAACTTCATTTGATCTAGCGAATATACTATCATGAATTTAGTACGTAAGCAAGTATAAACCAAGGTATATATATCCAAACCAATAATTATTTGTGTTAAAAACAAGGATTCAAACTCACTATCTCCTTAAATCCCATAAATATATTAATCCTAAACATCATATAAAACTATTTTTACCACCTGGAATTCGATGTATTCTAAGATACTATAACCAATAAGACAACACCCCAAACACAATAAATTCTCTCCAAGAAACCTCTTTCAGAAAATTTCCTTAAATTTACAACCATTTTTTTAGTTAAAAAGAAAAAAAGATGTTATCAAGAGCTTTTGTCACTAAACACCAAGTTAGAAGGAACTTCAACGACCATGAAGAAAACAGCTGCAGATCAATGTCTATACATGAGTACGAGGAATTCATCATCGGATTCAAACAAGACGTCCCCCTCGTATTTTTCGACGAAAATAACGATCCTAATCATAACCATGGTAACATTTCGATTATCTAACCATCTCATTTAAAAACTTAAGTTGTTATAATGTAAATATTTATTTATTGAATTATATTATGTCTCGACAGGTAAAACAGTCGCTCGTTCTTGTGAGCCAAGATTGACACTAAAAGAAGTGTTGAGGGCTTCAGCTGGGGTTATGGGAGAGTCTCATTTTGGTATGACTGAGAAAGTTGTGCTTTTAAAAGGGAAAATATGTGCTCTAAAAAGGTTTAGGAAAGTGGTTGTGAAAAATAGTGAATTTGGGAAAAGAATTGAGAAATTTGCTAGGGTTAGTAGAGAGTGCAAGCAACTTGTTCCAATCACAGCTTATTTATACTCAAAGAGGATCAAGTTTGTTGTTTGTGATTATTATCCCATGGGTAGTCTTGCTGATTTACTTTCAGGTGAGCTTTCTTTTTCATATAATCAACCATATATATACACACACACACACAATCAGATCATTGAAAATAATCTAATCGCAGATTAATTTGTATAATGTCACTGTATATAACTTAAATTTTGTTCTATTTTACTTGTCGAGAGGTACCACGATAATCTTTAAATAGGGAGAAGGTTTTAAAATGGCATATTGTGCTTAAGTTACTGAGTCATTCTAAATTAATAATTTGCACATATTAAATAACAACAACATACTAGTATAATCTCACAAGTGGGTTTGGGAAGGATAGTATGTACGCAGACCTTACCCTTACCTGGTGAGATAAAGAGGTTGTTTCCGATAGACCATCGGCTCAAGAAAAAGGTGAAAAAGGAAGAAAAGGAAGAAAGGAGGAGGAGGAGGAAGAAAAAAACAGCACATATTAAATAGATTTTTTAAAATAAATATAGAGTTTGGACAAAAATAACTGGATTTGACCGAACTTATACCGTCAATGCTAGCTCTGCCACTGATCCAGACCCTCCTAGAAATGTTATTGGTAGTATCAATAATAAAATAAGAGCTTCCTTGATATTAAAATAAGTTAAAGGGCTCGGTTGAGACCATGCAATTTATAATCGTTACAAAAATATTTAAATACAATGTCAAAAAAAAAGTTAAGAGCTTTATTGAGTACAAAACTAACTAGAAGATAAGGCAGACAATCCGCTATAACATGTTAAATTATATTAATCGTGTAAAAAGAGTTACATTATCAATGCATATAAGTGAATTTTTTTACTCCAATTTCTTATGCTTATAGAATTCTTGGCTGCAGGAGCAAGGGATCTAGGACAAACTGCACTAGAATGGAAACAACGTTTAAAAATAATTCTATGTATTGCTAATGGTCTTGCATTTATCCACTCTCAAAATCAACCAAAAAATCAAATTAAGGATCACAAGGACATATACTTAAATGTTCATGGCAATGTCAAGGCATCAAATATCATGATCAACATTGATTTCACTGCTTGCCTTTCCGACTATGGCTTCGCGCAATTAGCAGAGTGGACAGAGTTTTCCGATACCTGGCAAAAGAAGCCACCCCTTCTTGAATATGTATATTCTCATAAATTGCTAAGCCAGAAAAATGATGTGTATAATTTTGGTATTATTTTGTTGGACATATTAGGAAGGCAAGGGATGAAGAAAGAAGAGATGAAAAATGGGGAGTTTGAATTTTTGGTACAAGGCAAAGAAAGAAAACAAGCTTTTAATGTATTGAATATAGCTTTGAGCTGCATAAATAGTGATCAAGAGGCTAGGCCTACAATGAAAGAAATAGTGATATACCTAGGAGATGTTTTGAGGGTGAGAAATTAATGGGTATTTCTTTTTTGTGTGCATAAAATCAAAGGACGATCCACGGATTTAAAGTTTATGTTTCTATAATGACTTCAAGTTAATGTACAATAATAATTGGATTTACAGTCAAATATTTATAGATATTTATTGAATTTCTTTATATTTATAAAGAGTATAAGCAAAAAGTAGTACTATTCACACGAACCCACAAGTTATATTATGGACCCGCCCCAGCGTAAAATATATGATTGATCCACATAGTATATGGATAAAAAAAACATACATGATGAAAAGAACGTACGTCTTGAAACATGTTTGAAACTTTTGGGTTACTGAATGATGTTTTACTATCGGTCTTTAACCATATTTGTTGATATGCTTGATCTTTTTTTGCCGTCAAACTTTTCTATAATAGTCTTGTTTGTTCTGATATTTTTTGGCTGGTATAGTGAAGTGTTGTTATAAAGGACATATATTATAGTATAATATAAGAATCAATTCCGAAAAAAATTTAGCTTTTATAATGAATGACTGTTATATGAGAATGTTGTTATAGAGAGGACTGACTGTATTAGATTCTTGCCATAAACATAATGGTCTTCGACTAAAAAAATTATCAATTCGAATTTGAGTCTAGTCGTGTGATTTTTATATAAGCATTTTACTAAATAATTGTCCTAGTCGATTTTTTTTTTTGATGTTACTGTTTCTTTGACTTTTTTACTATTGTGTTTCTTTCTCTGTTATGCTTATGCATGCTTGCTTTGAGCCGAGTGGAAACAATCTTTCTACCTGCATAAAATGGGAGTAAAATTGTGTACACGCTATCATTTCCAAACCCCATTTATGAGATTACACTGAGTATGTTATTATTATTGTTGTCGTGTTCGATTCAATTTACGAATATCTTAATTGATTGAGCATAATCTTTTATGATTTTCGTCCATTTTGAGTAATCGTTATACCACATATATTAATCTGATCTATTTGAATGTGAGAAAGAAGTTGTGATAAAGAGGGTCTTATATTTCCCCCCATAATAAAGGGATCTTAGAAGGGACAGACACTGATGAAATATGAAGTAGCCTCACGTGTGGTTCTGCACTTTGATTCGTTGGTTCCTTTCTAATTTTCTATCACTAATTACAGAGTCAAAAGGACCACTTTACTTCTATAATGTCACTGAATCATGTCAGATCTTACACGTGTGCTTTTATTACTAGCCTTCACTCTTATGCCAGACAGGGTCCTCCTAAAAAAAATACATACATAAAGTATTTTTTACAGTCGAATCCAGAAACTTTTGCTTAACAATATATTTGTGTTGAAAAATCAATTAAATATGTCCAAATATAAAACTAGGATCCAGTTATTAACACTTCAAGTTGTCGTTATAAAGTTGAAATTCAAACTCCATCTCTTGCATTCATACATGATCCGCAAAAAGATCGCATTTCAAGAGAATGTAATTTAGATAATTTATTGTGATACAAGTATTAATGACTGTTTTCACGAGGGTTCTCTTTCTACAATTAAAAAAAACATTAAAATTTTGAAATTGTGTGAAAGATCTCGGACTTATTTGTTGATGTTAGAACATTGATTGCGAGTTTTGAACATGTTATAATGCATTACAGCTTCAAAGAAATTGGATAAGATTTTAAATCTTATACCATATTAGCTTTCGTGTTGTTCTGAGGTTGTTTTAATTTTTCTTATTTTCAAGATCTACTTTCTCATAAAAAAAATTACCAAATTACTTAGTGCCCGCTTGGACATAAAATTTAATGAAAGATTTTTCCAAAAAAAAATTCACTTTTTTTTTTGAAATCAACGTTTGTTCATAAAATTTTCAATTTTCACTTGAAGATGCATTTTGGAAATTTTTGAAAATTTTAAAAAATGTAAAAAATTGTTTTCAAAATTTTCACTCAAATCACTTACAAAACTTTAAAAACAACCCAAAGTGAAATTTATATCCAAACTCAACTCTAAATTTCAAATACAATTTTCACTTGAAAAAATATTTCACCATTTTTTTAGACGCAGTAACTTAAAACGATTAGCATCCCAAATTAATCCATAAGCTTGAAATCTTAGTTCCGCCTCTCCGCAAAATAACTTCATTCGGATGTTGTTATTCATTAGGAACTGAATTTGCAACGTCACTAAATTAAACTCTATATTCCAAGTAATATACAGTTCGCATTTCAAGCTCTCATCTAAAGTGTAGCGATTAAGATACAGTCCAATCAATCTCATTTAGTCACGGTATATATCTACGACACTTGGACCAATTACTACACATTATAACATTTTTTTCCTTTTAATAACTGAAAATATAAGTGAATAGGCCTGCAGTTAGAATATTATATTACTAACAATAACAAGCTATCATTATTTGTTTGATTAAATCATGTAATTTGTTTAGTCTAATGGTACATTTTGACTGATCCCAGACCCCAGTAGTTTACTTTAATTTTTTAAAATTATAATGTGGTGACTTTTACTTCCAAAGCGTGTGGGTTAGCAGTATTTTAAGATTCTTTTAGCAGAACCCAAGGAATCAAGAAGTTTCGGGTTAGATTCATCGTGCCTCCTTAATTAAAGCATGATCCTGCAATAATTTACATTAACTTCAATATTTCATATTATCTTTAGCGCTTAATTACATAAAGGATTAGTGAAGAGAGAAAAACTTCATTACTTGGGAGTGACTGTATGGGTCAAAATCTGACCAGATAAGTACCAGCGTGAGAAAGGACGGCGAAAAGTTACTTGAGACTGTCGTATCCATACCGCACTGTAGCGATACGCACCTCGGCTACGGCCGAGGTCATGTATTCAGAACGCCAGAGAGGCGAATTGGATGTTACGGCATTTCAAGGGGTCAGCCCGTAATATAGTCAAACGATTCAAGTACTATAGGTAATGACCGTTGGGTAAATGAGAAGACCTAGTATATAAACTAAGTGAGAAGAA